AAAAAAAAAAAAAAAAAAAAAAATGAGGATAAAAATTCGACAAAAAAGAAGGGTATGAAAAAACGAATGGGTATACCTGACGGTATATCAGACGGGGGTAGTTTTTCTCAATGTGTCGAAGGTCCATTCACCACCTCTGATCGGTGGTGGGGGTGGCAAAGGCTCGTCAAGATCGAAAGTCACGAACTCGTGCTGCACACTAGGACTGTATTCCTCTTCCTCTTCTTGAAGGACATCGGCTGTTGTGCTGACCTGTGAAATTAATTTTTTCCCATCTTAATTTAGTTTGATCCTTCTAAACGTATTAACGAGAATGCGAAGTTGGAATGGAAAGTTCGATTGGGAAATTTAATATTTAATTGTAATCACGGTTATTTCTCCTTTTTTCTCCTCTTCCTCTTTTCTTTCCTTCTTTTTATTATAAATTGAAAGTACTGTTTCGTTGTATTTTTGAGAAAAATTGTCGAATGTTCGACAATTCAAATTACAAATTTCTATCCTTCTATGGATATTGTGGAAAAAAATATGTTTTTCGTGATATTTGTTGAAATTGTTTCAAAATTTTTTAAAAGATAATAAGAAGATTATGGGTTTGAGATTGGTTGAAAAAAGAGAAACGATAAAGAGTATTAAAACGATTATTTTAAAAAATATAAAAAAGTATTAAAGTATTAAAATATTATATATATATATATTTTGTGATATAATTATTTTAAAAGAATATAAAATAAATACCTTCGAACGAAATTTTATCAGTCAACCCACGAATGTTTAAAATAGTTTAACATATAATCTTGTATATGGATTATTTTTTATTCCAATTTTTTTCTTTAAGGTAAAAAAGGGACAAAAATTTGCAGCACAGACAGGAGACATCCATGTAACCACTATTATTTTCAAAATATATCTAAAAATAAAATTGGCAGATTCTCAAGAAAACTCGATCCATTTTTTTATTTCACCAAAAATCAAAATAATCAATTCATATTCACTGCATGCATTCAAGTCTCATTTCAACGGGATTCTATCTTGAAGGTATAAGCATTATTAATTTATTATTATTAATTTAATCTCTTTCATTAATAGAAAAAAAAAATTACGTTTTATTCAAGGAAAAAAAGAATTGTTTTACCGTCTGCGTGGTAAGATCCCTAGGAAATTGTCTGGAATAATCGTGGTAATCCAAATTGGGCGGTGGTGGTAAAAATTCGTCGAAATCCACGTGGTCCACCGAATCCCTTCCGAAGAAGTATCTTTTCTGATGCCTCTCGCAGAGGAAACCACTGTGGCCCAAGATCGCGTGATGATTCGTATGATGCACGTGGTGATTGTCTAAATGATACACTCCCTGAAAATAAATTTGATAAAAAGGGAAACGAATTCTTTGCCCTAATGCATTATGCACGATATTTATAATTTAATGAAACCAGGTCGAGGAAAGAAGATTAGAAAAAAATGAATAGAGAAAATTATATCGTGCATATATAAATTCTGCGCATAAAATTATTCGTTTAATACCAAAAGACGTTAAGGTTGATCGCTTCAGCACGGTATTAAGGTCAAACGCATAAAAAGATACGTTAAACCCCGATCTGCATAATTGTCTCACGGTTGGTTCGAAAAGAAAAGAAAATTCGAACCACTTTCTTATTATTCCGTTCAACGTATTCTCTTATTCTTCTCTTTCGTATTTTCCAATTTAACAATTTAATCAGAGAAAAATCTGATTTATTATTTTGACTAATTTTGTACTAATTTAAAGATGATAATATTCGTAATAGATTTAAGAAAGATATAAGAAAAATATAAAGAAAAATAAATAAATGGAATAGGGGTAAAAAAAGAAAGAAAGAAAGAAAAAAAGAATCTCTGCAATCTTCGTCCAGAAATAGATGTTTGAGATTTGATTTTGAATGCAAATCAGATAATGAATCGAGGAGAAGCGGAGGATCATTTAAAATTCACGAGAAAGAAAAGATAAAACGATACGTCTACGGTACAATAGTGTGCACAGTACGTCGAGTCTGTAAAGGGACAAGGTTGATGGTCTGGTAGGACGGTATATGGCTGACCTATTCCACTTGCACCGGTATGGAAGGCATTGCGCTTCTACCGACACGAGAGGATGAATCAAGCTCGACGTTAACAGAGGCTACATGGAACATAGCAGGTTACGAATTGTTCTTTTCCTCTTTCTCTCTATCGAGACTTCTTTTCCCCTTGCTTTTTTTCACGCCCCGTCCACGTTTACCTTGTCCTCTTGCCCCTCATTTATTTTATTATCTTTCTCACAATCAAATTTTTCTTCTTCTTCTTGGAAATAAAGGAAAAATGTTTCAATTATTCATGGTGAAAACGTATTCTTTTGCAATATTTTTATATTTGTCAAGAAAAGAAAAATAAAAAGAATATTCCATTAAAATTCTTATTTTGTTTATACGCAACAACAGATCTTATTTCACTCGATTAAAATGATTAAAATGAACGTGAATCTTTTTTCCTTTCTTGTGAATTGCATTTTAATATTTGGATCTTGAACGTGTAAAATGTGGAAAACTTTTAAATTATCGAATGTTTTTTTTACTACAAAGAGAACGAATATCTTATTCTATTTAATATAAAATTATAAATTATGTTTAAAGTGATTTAAGTAAATCAATTTATATATCGTAATTGCAATTATTCATGGACACTATAACAGATACTGCTTCGTGTGGGAACGTATAGTTAGTATACTTTTTTATTGCATTCTTTTTACGACGATGAAAAAGTATTATATATTATCTATCAACATGTTATTCACTCGTTAAAATTTATGTGCAATCGATAAAAATTAACGATCAACGAATAATTCATGAGAACATTAATGTAAAAAGTTCTCCAATGGAAGAAAAGAATCCGAGAATCAACCACCAAATCTCTTCCAAGAAGAAGAAGAAGAAATTTGATTGTGAGAAAGATAATAAAATAAACGAGGGGCAAGAAGACGAGGTAAACGCGAACAGGGCGTCAAAAAAGCAATTAATTTTTCTTTATCTCTACATAAAAAAAAAAAAAAAGAAAACTTTGTCATAATACTTATAAAAACATTTCTTATTTCTTCTTTCAAACTTGTAACATACAAAATTCACTAAATAATACTTAATAATATCAACAACCATCAAATTTTATTCAATTTTTCCATCCGATCCTTTATCCTTAATCGAATAATTTCTCAAACCTATATTCACCTCTTGAAAAGACGTTAAATTTCCACCTCTTCCTCCCCTTGTCTCTATTGTTTTTCTCGCCATTTGTTCCCATTCTTCAATTCGATTTAATTCGCAAACGTATTCACAGCTCCTCCTCCCCTCCCTCCTCCCCCCTCCCTTGCGTGGAAAAATTTGAAAGGCAAAAGTTTGAAAAGGGGAGAGAGAGGAAGGGACGAAGAGTGTCACTTGTTGTGTCGAAGCGCATTGCTTGAGATGAGATCTATCTGTAAGCAGGCAGAGACCACCACACTTGCTCCCTCTGCCTCGTTTCCTTCTCGTCAGGTGTCTATTTTCCAGTTAAATGTAATTCAAGCTCGATAATTCGATTAGAGTTTCGGGGAAAAGAGGAGGGAGGGGAGAAGAGGTTGTTAGAAAGAAAGATATCGAGGGGAATCGCACAGGCAAGAACCGAGTCGAGGCAGGCGAGAGATCGCGAGGAAAGGTTAAGCGATCGTCGATATATATCCTTGATCTATATCACATTCTGAGCCCCAGTTTATAATCGCGTCAACGCACCTTTGTCGGTACTCACAATATTGTTCCAAAGCGGTACAACGTTCGTTAAATTTAAATTAAACTCATCCCGAAGTAATTCGCGCGAGTTCCCCTCTCCCCCTCCTCCGCGCTAAAATTTTACACGAGCAGTCGTTAAATTGTGTGCAGATGGGGGTTTATCCTGTACATTTCGCGCTCTATTGTATCCGCGTTATAGTTATTAAACGAGTAATTTAACTTGGGAACGAATGTTTCGCACCATGGGAAAGCTGATTTGTGAAATTAAACGGTTGTTAATTGTTGAGAAAAAGTAACTAGTGACATCTAGGGGGGGAAAAAAATTACGTTTTGTGACTAGGGAAGATTCGACCGCGTTGCACGTATATATCCATCCGAGTTCCAAAGTTTTGTTTTATCCTTTAGCCAAGGGGGAGGTTGTAGTTTGAATTTTTTAAACGAATAACTTATCTTCCTTAAAAAGTTTTCAGAATCTCTAGAGCGTACGCGCGAATCGAGGGAAGCGTGCACAGATTGGGAGTAATCAAAAAATAAGAAGCGCGAATTTTATAGGTTAGGTTTTTCGAAGTCACTGAAAATATCTTTTCTGTAATTCTGAGCTTCGTTCTAATTAATCGATTAACATTATTTCTCGTGAAACGAATTTAAAAGTTCTAATTTAAACGCAACGAGTACAATTTTCACCAAAATCGCGCCGATATTCTGATATTCTGCCAAGGCGGGACTAATAGTTCCGATTCGCGTAACGGAAAACTTTTTAAGCGGATGTTAATTCGATCCAAACTCCCCGAACGTGGTCGTATAAAAGAAGCTAATACTACCAACCCCGTAATTTTTTCGCCTCGAGTCTCTCCGTACCAATTCCTTCTGGTGCCAAGAGATATACAAGAAGATGGCGTAAGTGCCAGCGACCTCGGTCGTGATGAAGCCACTCACGTACAGCAAAAATGAGAATCCGTACCTGTAGGTGAAGGGTGGCCCCTGAAATCGCAAGATTGCGACCAAGATATTCATTCACACGGGACGTGTAATAGATGAGAAGTAATTTTAGGCTACCGAAAGAAATATGAAACCGAGAATTTCATCAGCCTATGTAACATTTAGATAGAGTTAGACGACACCCGAATTAAAATTCATCTACTGGAAAATGGATCACGGTACGTAGGAAGGGTTTAAAACGAGATTCGAGTGTCTTCTTTTTTTTGCAAAATTTTAAAAATATCGAAATTTTAATTCGAGATTAAATAAATATCAAACGTTTCTTTTTTTGTTTTGTTATTTTTTTTATGTCGATGTTAATTGAAAATCGTATTGGACTGACCTGAAACGACGATCTTGGTCTAAGCTTACTACCAACCTCGGCTTTGAATACAGATATGTACATCACCATTCCCACCAGCATTAACAAACCTGAAAGAGAAACTGATTTAATAACTTGAAACGTTATCTCTGCGCCACAAATTCTCTTCTGACAATTTCACAAAGTATGGACCTCTCATCGTAACGCGATTATTTGAACTTTGATCTTTGATTTCTTCGCGCAAGTTCAAAGACTGTGGACGTGAAATAATTAATAATATTATCGATTGAGAAGAAAGGGAAGGTAAATAAATGATGATATTTCACGCGTTTTCAAATTTGAAAAATCCCCTTTTTTTCTCTTAAGGAACAATTTTTACTTATAACGTTAACGGGACAACATATACGTTATGGATTCTCTCACGCTTTCTCTATTCATAACCCTTTTTTTTTTAGAAAGGCAGAGCGAGCAAAGTATCCTGGTGCAATATAAGCTTGGTGTACTTTATTACTCACCGGAAACTATGAAGACCACGCCAGCGACAAAGACGCAAAGTCTGTGTCTCGGGTGAGTAACGTGAGCTGTGAAGTAACAAACTTCGGCTACCACCAGCAGCGATGTTGCAGCGAAGAAGAACATTGCCGACTTGGTAACTGCATCTACGTAAAAAATATGAGTATGAAAGGTTGGACGAATGGGAAAAGTTCCGAAATTTTTCTTTTTCCTTCTTTTTTTTTTTTTTTCGGAATTACGTCATTACCTATGTGAAAAT